TGGTTTCCTACATGTGGGCCTTTGCACAAGTCATGTGGTCTTCCGGAGCCTCAGTTTCCTCTTTAGTGATGGGAGTTTTTCCAGTTCCCTGCAGGCTGGTGAGCCTGTGGGCTGGTGAGAGCACTCATGCCAAGCAGGCTTTGATAGGCATCTAAGAAGTGTGGAGCGCATCAAAGCCAAGCCCACAACATATTCCTTCACTCATTCATGAGGTCTGTCCAGTCAAACATATGGCTTGAGAATGCTGGTAGTGAAGTAGCTGACTTTTCCTGGAAGACTGAGTGACGCTCTGTGAGACAGTGGTGGGAGTGGAAGACATGGGCAGAGCCTCCAGGCAGGGCAGGATGATGGGAACATACGAAGGAAGGTGGCCCTACAGACCCCATGACAGCCCTGTGAGGAAGTGTCACATCGAGGGACCCAGCTTCTCTCCCAGAGGAGAGAGGGAGGAGGGCAGTGGGCAAGTCTGACAAAGGGAGGTGTCTGTGGTGCTCTCTTCTCAGCAAACGCATGCTGAGCAAGGGCCTCTTGTCACAGGGCACTTGGACACAAGGTTGGACACCCCCAGGTTCCTGCCAGAGGGTCACTTACAACACAGGATGACTGCCTGAGTCTTTCCGCAACTCAGAACCTGTCATGGCCCCACCTGCCTCTCCGGTCCCACTGCCCACTTCTTTCTGCCTTATTTTGTTGCCCTGGCAACAGGAGTGTCACTTCATTTCCTCATTGTCCACTCTCAGGGACATTGCAAAAACTTGTCCTACTGCTTGGGACATGTCTTCTTATTCTTTATTCAAAACATGTTTCTTGAGGTGAAGAATGAAAATATGGCTGTGAAGGTAGAAAATCATATTGAGAACTATTCAAAATATGCAGCAGTCACTTTGAAGATAGAATTACTTAAAAGCAAGATGAATAAGCACAACAGCTTATGCCCAATTTCTATTTGAAAGATGAATCAGTCCTTTTTGTATATTCTTAACTGCACTGGAAACATACACGCTTATGTGCAATTGTAATTAATAAGCTATAGCTTAAAAACACATGAGACCCCAGCATTTGGAGCTCTCCCCAGATATCACAGGAAGCCTTCCATGCGTCCCAAAACTGGATCAGACCCGAACCCCTGTCACATTCTCCCATGCACCCCTGACCATCTGTCACGTCCAGGGTGAGCACCACTGCTCTGCGGGAATGAGCAGCCAGAGTTGGGAAGTCAGCACCAGCAACAAATTAAAAGGACACAGTTTTTAAAAGGGGAAGACATTTTATTTGTAAGGAAGAAAAAAGCAGGGGGCAGAAAGGTGCCCCAAAGCGAGGGAAGGCAGCTCCAGAAAGATGGATTCCCATTGGATCTGTGTTTCCAGCCTTTTAAACCAGGTTTTGGAGGACCCTTCCAGGTCAATATCTGGAGCTTGTCACAACCTGATTGGCTCTCCAGACTGTTATACATGAATCCCAGGCCACAGGATCCAGCCTGGTTGCACTGCCTGTGTGCACATTCCTTTGGTGGGCTTTGCTTGATGTTCTCTCACCCGCTTGTCTCTGTCATGGCCTTATCTCTGGGATTTCTAAGTTGTTTAGGAGGGAGGAGCCTTATATGCAAGACTGAGTTGGTGATTAAGTTAGGGTATGTATGAGCATCTAGTGCAGAAACATAGCGACCCTAGCGTGGGAATGTATGTATGTGTGTGGTGCATAGGTGTGCATGTGTGTTTTATTTACTAAACATGATCTGTCGTCTAGGTTATGCAGCCCCCCTGTCTCCTTTGCATTTTATTGGATGTGGGGAGAGGCAGTGACTTCGGTTTTGAGCACCTGGCTCCTTTCGTGCTCTGTAGGTCAGCTCTCCCTCGGGCCTCTTGATGTACTTGCCTTTTCATTGCTCCGAAAGGAATTCCTCTAGTTCAGCTTCTCACTCTTTCTAGTCAGGATTAGCCAGAAAGCCTAACGAGGCCCTTGTTCTATTCTCTTCCTGCCTACATTTCTCTACACATCCACGCTTCATCATCTCCCTGGGGTTTGGGATGATGAATGAACGAGTGTGGATACAGTGGAGAAGCCACATGCAGGTTGATGAGTAGGGCTCTGAGGTTTGCCGGACGGTGACTCCGTGAAGCCAGAGCCAGCTCTGCTGTGTGAGCAGCAGCCCGGAGACTGCACCCAAGCTCCATACATCACCATTTGATGCAGAGTGGACTGCATGATTGGAGACATGTGCATAAAGATGTGCTAACAGACTGGGCCACAAAGGATGAGCAGGAGCTCGCCAGGCAGGAGGAAATTCTCATTCTGGGGGGTGGGGAGCCAGTGTCTGGACCACAGCTCTTTTAGAAGATTGCTGGTAGTCTCCAGAGCACAGGGAGGGGTGGAGGGAGGTTTCCACAGCAGCTCTTGGGCAAGCCTGCAGGCCAGGCACCGTTTCCAGGCAGGGCACCTCAGCCTGGGAGACGGGTCTTATCTTCCTTTCCAAGGAGAGGAGGCCAAGGCTCAGAGATGAAGCCGTGTGCCCAGGTCACCCAGCCACTCAATGGAGCCACTGCTCCACTCTCCTAAATTGCACACCTGAGAGGTCACCGACAGCTTTTTGTCGCTGCTTAGTGATCTTCAGCTCCCAACTTCTCCCTGAGTCCAGGAGTGGCCTCAGGGCCTTAGCACCCCCATGCTGACCCACCTGCCCCCTCTCCAGGCCGCTTCTCCAGCACCTGAGGCCTGGGGCTCTGGGCCCACGCGGGCCCAGGATAGAGGCAGGAGCCTCGCTGGATTACGAGGGAGGCGCTGAGGTCAGCGTGGGACCCTTCCCTCCCTGCCCCAAACTGGAAGCATGGGAGCTGCTGCGGGAGGCTCCCGTGAGGTCCTTTCACCCCTCAGAGCTTCAGTGTCCACCTCTGGCTGCCCACAGGGCCAACGTGACCACAGGGGGCACAGTGAGCTGCGAACTGGTAGGAAGGACAATTGCTGGGCTTCCTGGTGCTGAGCCAGTCAAGATCTGCTCCTCCCAAGATGCCACCAGCAAAGGACCTGAAATGAATCGCCTACGTTGGGGCCCAGGTGACCCTGGGAGCCACAGGTGCCCCCTAGTGTTCATAGATTGGACCTGCAGGCCCAGTTTGCACGCCAAGGCAGAGCCGCAGACCCTTGAGGACAAGGCTCAGCCCCAGGATCTTCTTTTTGTGGCTGAAATGCACACAGTCAGCAGTGAGTCCTCTCTGCTACTTCTGTTGCCTCCTCTTAAAGCTGTCCAAGGGCTGTGCCCTCACCACCTGTGTCACCATCTACCTGCAAGCCTGGCTGGCCCAACACCCCTGCGTGTACACTCTGGGAAGACGACCGTGTAAGATATGAACCCACCTCTCTCTCACTCCAAACCCTAGGTAACTGCTGTGACTCCCAACTTCCCCAAATTGTCCATCAACGGCCAGTAGGTTCAACAGGAGGAAGAGAGCTTGTTTGCTAAATAACGAAGGCTAGGACATGGTCAAGCGGGTGAGGTCAGTGTTTAATCCAGAAAACCCAGTGTGCAGGGAGGGGCTGGAGTGACCTGCGAGGCAGCACATTTGAATAGCAGGGGGAGATGCCACGGTGCGGGATTGGGTCAGAGTGTGCCTGCAGCCCCCACCCCAGGGAGACAAAGCGTGTTCATCCTAGCCCACGGTTGAGCTCTGCAGTGGGCAAGAATTCCTCTTTATTTCCCACCGGGGTTAGAAATCTTTCCCAAAAAGAGCAGGGACGGCATGGTGGTCTCGTAAAGCATCATCAGGTAGGGTCTGTTCATCGCAACGTTCTGGGGCTTCTCCATGGGCAGCGTCTCTGCTCCAGAGCCTGCGGCCCCCTCAGTTCCCTTCTCATCCATCTTCAGCTCAGCCTTGTGCACAGCCTGCAGGGACGGAGAGAAGGTCAGTGCCGCCCGGCCACACACAGAGCACCATGGGCTGGACAGCAGGCCCAGAGAGGCAAGCAGCGGGGCCAAAGTCGCCCGGCATAGCTGTAACCTGGCTGGTGCCGGTTGCCTGGGGCTCCTGGCTCTTGTGTTGTCCTTGCTGTATGGCTTCAGGCGAGAAAGTGAGGGTGCTGGCGGGAGAATCGGTTCCTGGGGTCACAGAGTGAGGCTAGCTGTGTGTCTAAGGACACATAGAGTGTGCTGGCTGCTGAGAAGTTCTGCTGAGTCTGAACTCACCCTCAAGGATGGTTAAGGGGGAGCCAGGTTCTGGAACAGCCACGGAAGCTTCCTGAGACTCCAGGCCCCCACGTCCACCCACCTCAACAGTGTCACCCAGGGGATCTGTGCACCCCTGTGAGATTCTGACACATTTCATTCTAGCCTGCAGAATCCCAGCCATTCTGCTTTCAGAAAAGAGGCCAACACCCTGTGTTGGAGTGGCAGCTACCAGCACACCTAACTGCAGAGAAGAAACAATCCACCGAATTCGGTAAAGCGCTGTGGAAAGGGAGCGCCGCCTGGAACATTTTAGAGAAATCTCAGAATCAAGGCAGGGACGCTCAAAAGCTAGAAAATTCCATGAACTGTGTTTCTTCTTCTGTGTTTTTACCAAGTTGTGAGCCACCCACCCCCAGGCTGGTCGACCCTCCCCCTTCACCTCACCATGCCTGTCCCACCACGCTGTCCCCGCTGTTGTCCCACCTCCAGACCCTGACCCCACTCCTGCTGGCCAGTCACCTCACACTCCCTTCCCATACCCTCTTAGTCCAAAAGGTTTTGTCGATGTCATACGCTACATCCAGGCAAATCTGAATTCAAGACAGGCAGTGACTATGGCTAGGATAAACATGCCCCATGCAATAGTCGGTGTGTGATCTCATTAGCAAAATTATTCGTTGTTCATCTGAATTCAAAAGTAGCCGAGTACCTATCTCATATTGCATCTGCTCAATCTGATGGCCCTGCCTGCGTGGTCCTCTCTTCTTGTCCCAGGAGGTGCTCACTCTTGCTGGAGACCACAGGACCTTTGTGTACCCAACTCTGCAGCACAGGAAACTGTTTACCCCTTACTTCTGGGAAGACTTTGAGGCCTCTGGGAGGAAGCTCTGGGCCTGATAAATGTCCCTGGGCTTGATTAATGTTTGTGGCACTGAATCAACTTCAAACTGGCATAAGGAGAGGGACGATTCTAGTTTCCAAGGCTTGAAACAAAAGCTTAGGGGCTAAGGGCATGGTTGATGCTTGGCCGGGGATCACCCAGCTGGCTGGGGCAGCGCTGGGCTCCAGGCTGGCCTGTGTGGAGGCAGTGTCCTCATTGGTCTTGCCTCCGTGACAGTGGTCCTGCTAGTGCTGTGAGGCTCCCTGCTTACCTCTCCCACTTTTAGGCTGCGGTAAGGGGAGATCCGCGTGAGGTCACCGTGCTCCTCGAAGATCTTGCTGATGCCCAGCTGGGAGAGGGTCTTCTTCAGGTTGTAGGTTCCAGAGATGTGAATCCTGGGAACGTGTACATCGACAACCCTGCAGAGTCACAGGGACAAGGGTGAGGCAGATGGCACCAGCGGACAGATGAGGAAGGAGACCTTTGTCCTCCCAGTGCCGAGAGCCTCAGATCTTCTGTGTCCATCGGATAAGGAGGGGCTCCTTGACCCTGGGGCCCAAGAACCTAGTTTGAAAACACCTTGTCCTCTCTGCACTACATCCCTGCTTACCATCCGCCCAGCCCCAGAGCCCCCATCTAAGGAAATGTTCTCAAGTCTCTTGTGCACCATACTCAGGATGACATTCCCCCTGCACTCCTGGCCAGGCCCACACCCTGAGCCATCCCTACCCTGCCAGGCCTGAGGCTGGACAGCTGGAGTCAGGTGAACGTGAGTGCAAGTCCGCGCTGCCTCCAGGGGCCCCAGGATTAGGGCAGAGGATTGCAGACCTTGGACCACAGACCCTGAGAGCAGGATGCCAGTTGTCACTGCTGGGGACCTCAGTCCTGGCCTCCTCTTTGCCTTTATTCCAGCCCAGGAATCTCCTCAGTGTTGTGACTTTAGTTACCATTGATAGACTGACAGCTCCCAAGTTACCTCTCCACTCATTCATGCACGGAGCAAGTGGTTGTTGAGTGCCTACTGTATACCAGATGCTGTTCTAGGTGCTCAAGGTGAATCCATGAACAAAACAGGAAAGATCCCTGCCCACGACCTGTGTTCCCGCAGGGAAGACATATAAGGAAATCAACACGAGGCCAAGCAAAAGTGGGTGTGTGCCCACTGCCCATGGTATGCAAGAGGGTAGGCGTGTCAGGGAAAGAAAGGACACAGAGATGAACTCATGGGGATCAGAAATGCTAGGAGGCAAGTGAGAGGTTTGGGCAAAACATGAAGGAGGCAGAGAACCAAGCAAATGTGGCTTCTTTCCCAGCATAAAATAGGGAGCCATGGAGGGCCTTGACCAGAGGAGTGATACGGCTTTGTTTAGGATAAGAAAGGGTCATTCCATTTGATCTGTTAATATAGCCTTGGAAGCAAGGTGGTGTATGCTGGCAATCCTAGCACTCTAGGAGGCTGAGGCAGGAGGATCACAAGTCCAGGTACCTTAGGGACTTAGCAAGATCCTATCTCAAAATAAAAAGCAAAAAAGGGGGCTGGGGATGTAGCTCAATGTGAAGACCATGGGTTCAATCCCAAGTACTGTGGAGGAAGGAAGGAAGGATAGAATAATGGAATGAAGGAAGGAAGGAAGGAAGGAAGGAAGGAAGGAAGGAAGGAAGGGAGAGAGGAAGGAAGGAAGGGAGGAAGGAGGGAAGAAGGGAAGGAGGGAGGGAGGACATAGACATCTCTGGGAGGTCTGGCACACAGAAACAGGGCTGTGGAGTGGGTGGAGAGAACGGGGCTGGAGTAAGCCATGTGGGCGCCATGGTGTTGGAAGTGTGGAGAGAGCTGCCATGGGCCCCTTAGGGAGGGTCAGTGAGGACAGGGGGACCAACAGAGGAGAGGAGAGCGGCACAGGAGGAGGGAGCAGCACCAGGGAGGCTGCTCTGGGGGAGGTGGGGTTCTGAGGACTGGGGCGGGGCCTGAGCTGGCCCCTTGGTAACCCTAGGGGGGGAGGTGGGCACCAAAGGCCAACAGGAGTGGGTCTGAGACACTGGCATGGGAGGCGGGGGCAGTGAGCAGGGGCAGCTGCTCCAGGCCTTCACCTGCGAAGGTGAGCTGTGAACTGACGCTGCTGGGAGCCAGAGCAGCATCGCAGCTTCCTGCAGGCCCGCGCAGAGGGACAGGCCTGGGGGCACCGACGACAGCTGCCCGCCTTGCGCTTCCTGCAGAGAAGCCCCTCTTCGTGCTGTGAGCCATCCCTGGGCCCTGGGAGGTGATGCAAGGGAGAAGTGAGAGCGTCTTTATAGCCGAGGGTAATGACTCAGTAGAGAGCGCTGGCTGATGTACGGAAGCAAGGAGGGAAATTCTAAAGCCACATCGTGAGGTGCCCACATGCAGAGGGCACGGGACTCTGCATACAGATAGGGACGTCAGTGCTAGCTCTAAGTGGAAAGGCAGGCGGTGCAGGCGCTGGTGGGAGACGGAATGTGTGTCCAGTCCCTAGTAACGGTGGGCGGGGCCACCGGGCAGGGAGCAGACCCTCCCAGCTTATCATCAGGCCTGGCTGTCCAAGCCACAGCAACTTCTGACCTCCTAAAGGGTGGGCTGGGTGGCTCGATTGCCTCTGGGCGAAACTGGGAATCATAGCAGCAGGCCAAGTTAGGGAAAGGGAAGCGAGTATCTGCCTTCGGTACCAAGGCAGGCTACTGGAGGGAGCTGTGGCCTAAACTCTGACATGTTCTATGCACTTGTAAAATGGGGGTGTGTGTTTGGAAGTGTCTACTGACTTGGCTCCCGAGGACCACAGAAAGAACATAGAAGAATAGCCCATCTCTCCCCACTCCCATGAGGATAGCAGGAGAGGCCTGGCTAGGAACCCTGCCTGCAGATAAAGCACTCCACACCATGTCTGCAGACTGAGTGAGCTCACGAGGTAGGAACATGACGCTTGTTTCTAAGCCTGGTCCTCTACCCGACCCTGGGGACCAATCCACTGTCCTGCAGGAAGATGGAGGTGGAATTGCTGCTGCTGGTCATTCCTGACTGAAAGTGCCCGGGAGGCAGGATGTATTTGTGAAGAGAGGACCCCTCCTTGCCATGGTCCTGATGGGGGAAGTCGGTCCTCAGGGCAGGGAACACCAGAAGCAGCCTGGAGTATAGGGAGGAAGTGCACTGATGCACATGCTCTGTGGGGTGGTGCTGCACTAACTGAATCCTCTAAAGAGTCCTAGGCCACATCATAGATAAGAAACCCAGTCTCAGCTGAGGTTGGACTCCACCCTTCCTCCTGTTACTGGGGCCAGATGTGCAGGCTCCTGCAGGAGGAGGGATGGAGGGGGCAAGTAGAGCTTGGGGTGCAGCACCCTTCCTGGGACGCTCTGCCACTTAGCCCCACCTCCCTTGGAATTGGAAGCTTGTTGGAAACCTTTGACATTATTTTCCTTTGTGGGCTTTCTTTCAGCTAACTCTGCCAGTAGGTTGTGATCTACAGCTCTTCCAAGGGGGCATTCCAAGAGGAAGAAGCAGGCTTAGTTGAGCCATCCCTGGGGTCCAGCTTGGTCCCTGCCAGTCCTGTATGGCTGAGGTTCTTCGTAAACACCTTCTCCCAGGTGGAGGATGGTGGAGGGCCAAAGGAGAAGACAGACCTTGGACAGCATTGTGGGGAACGCTGACTCTGTTCCTCTTGAGTTCCTCTCCAGCTCATCCTCCTGGTCTCTAGCTACCAAAAGCCATTCCCTAGCCCAGCCACATTCAAGGTGCCACCCACGACTGTACTACCACCCACTCCTCAGAATTTAACTCTCACACCAAGGGAAGATTTTCCCTTCCCAAGAAAATCTGCAGTAGGCAAGTACCTGAGAGCAATTCTGTAGCTTACCATAAGCCTATTGTAGTTTTATGTTTTCAAAGACAATAGTTCAACTATTTGGTCCTCCACTCATTATTAGTATAATTTGCTTAGGACACACTTCATGGTTTGGTTGTGACACCATAGTTGAAAACTTCATTCTATTCACAGCGAACACCTCACTGCTCCCTTTAGTGCCCTAAGCCTCCTTTGCCTAGGATTGTGTCACTCTTCTCCCTGCTGTACATCCTGAAGTCTTGGCTCAAGTGCCATTCCCCCCAGGAAGCTCTCTCTGACCTCTACCCTCCGCAGGGCACCATGATTCTAATACATCTCCCAGGAGGAGCCAGTGTTTCACTTGATTCCCAGAGTACCTCCTGCTGTAATAGAGGCTCATCCTAGAACCCCAAAGGGCTTGGCCATGCGGCACAGCCAGAAGAAATCCAGCATGGAAGAGGTAAAGAGAGTAGAGTAGGAGGGAACAGAAGAAGGGGCAAGAGGTATGTGCTCCAGGCACCCTCTTTACCTTTTCGTCAGTAATTTTTTCCATCTGCCGAAAACGTCTGCCTGCAAGTTCTCCTGCAGCTGTCTCATCTTGCCCTTATCAGGCAGAATGAAGGTGGCTGTGAGGTTTCCCTGGTAGGGTATCTCCAGGATGGTGCAGGAGAGCTGCTTGTCATAGCCCATGTCGTACAGCCCACTTCGGAACATCATGGGCACCTTCACTGTCTTGTTTCTGCTCACAAAGAAATCTTCTGCTTTTGTTTCTTTTGGGTCAAACTCATGTTGCCACCTGGCTTAGGATTGAAGAAGGACAAAAATGACATGAGTGTCCAGAAGGTAAGAAGGTGCCCACTTCTGACTTTCACTGGTCTCTGGCTGCACAGACTCAGAGTAAGGGCCTTGGGTATTCAGGGATGTCACAGAAAGACTCTGGGAATCTCTGCCTTCCCTCCATGCCCTGAAGACTTCTGGAGAGGTGGGCTCAGGCCCAGGGTCAGCTCTGAATGAAACCAGGACATTCCCTCCAGGAAGCTCTCTGAAACCTACTGAACAGGGAGAGGAGCTGCCCCTCCCCTATGCCCAGATGCCACTGAGGGTGAGAAAGTCTGTAGCTGATGTCCCAACCAAGGGGACTGAACTGTGATTAGTGTGTGTGGGCTTGGGTATGACATGAGTGCAAACACTTCACTTTATTTTAAATCAACTGTAAAGGAGTCACTATCATGTGGGGCTAAGAAAACTCATGAGACAGACTGTCCTCAGGAGTGCTGGGCCTCAGTGGACACTCAAGGCTGGAAATTTAGGCCCCTCCTTCTTGATCCTGAGGACACGTCTCCATTACACAAGACTCAGTTCTGTATCTTTTCAAACCTGTTACACTCAGAGGTCTTTGTATAGGGCCATGAGAGTCAACTCCCTGAGTTCCAACTCTGGCTTCATTGTTCTAAAAGGAGACCTTGGACAAGTGTCCAATTTTCCTGGACTTCAGGATCCTTAATTCACAGAAGGAGGCTATTGATAAGTACCTCCTAGGGCTTCTTTGGGACTTAGTGAGACAAGGCACTATAACTCAGTGACTATGTATAGTGAGTGTTGAGTGCATGTTAGTCATCACCAGCATCTTTATTGTCATTGTTGTTCTGATGCGATCTAGGGACAAAGAGAATTTGAGAAATCTCTCATTCTTCTTCTCCCCTTTCTGGGTTAGGCAGACCATGGTTTCAGACTGCCATGATCAATTCTTTTTCCCTAAATAGCCATCCATCTCCCTGGGGAATTTGGGAGACCCAACCTTCCATATTCAGGACTACATTACCCACAACCCAGGAGTGACCTTGCTGTGACCTTCTGAGTTTCACCTGCTTTTGGCTAATCTATGGTGTGTGTGTGTGTGTGTGTGTGTGTGTGTGAGAGAGAGAGAGAGATGTGAATGGTTGTGGGAAGGAGATTAAGCTTGAGTTTGGGAACATTTTTAATTTTCTTTTTCAGTTTCTCTCTTAGGTCTAGAGAATCTACAAAGTCTGGTATGGAGACGAAGCCATCGACCAAAGCGAGCGTCACCACCATTATCAACACAATCATCATCCTGCGCATCTACTTGACAATGTGGAAAGTGCACAGCCCCAGGGACAAGAGAAGTGGATTCCAGCCCTAACTGCCACTGACTGGCTTTGGAATTTGGAATAAGTAACTAATCTCTCTGAGTTTCTCTTTTCTCAGCTAAGGAATGGAGACAAGAATGTCAGTCCATTCTTCACAGCCAGTGTTGTCAGGATACTCAATAACAATGAAAATTTACATGTGGAGAATAACTTAAGACTTCACAAAGCTCATTTCACAAACATTTCCATATTGAATTCCAAGGGTTGTGCACCATAGTATTCATTTTGTTGATAGGGAAGTAGGTTTGAGAGGTTAGTTGCATGGGAATTCAAGTTCACAGAACAAGAAAGTGGCCAGATTTTTAACCCAAGTCTATTGGGTACCCTGTCTCCTCCACACCGGCAGGCCTTACCTCGAAAATAAATGTAGTTTGTAAGAAGCATCACAGTGCCAGAGTCTATATTCTTGACAAGGTTGTCAATCCTCCCATGGGTTTTCCGACTGACATATTCATTGATCTGCTTCTGGGTGTCTTCCAGGTTGTGGAAGTTGGCAGGGAGAATATCTGCATTGTACATGTTCTTGGCCACTCTCAGGAACTTCTGCTGTGGCTGCAGCTTCTGGTCCATGAACAGGGTGTTGCCGAAGTGCAGCTTGACATCCTCCTCATTCTGGTTCAGCTTGTGGAGGAGGTGGTGGAAGGCCTGGTGCAGGTCCCTCTCTGGCATCCCCTTGAAGTTGAAGCCCTGCTTGATCTCTGCCAGTGTTGAATCCTGGGCCCCAAGACACAGTAGAGAGAAGGCAGTGGAGATGCTCAAGGGTGAGAAGAAGACATTCTTCCTGGGGCTGCTAATAGCCAGTTTCTTCAGCAGCTTGAAGCCAAACTGCATGTTGCGCCTGGCCAGATCCTGTGCGTCCCTTTCTTCCTTCCACCCTCGGGGATGGATCTTAGACACTGAGATTGGAGAAAAGACAGTAGGCTTTTGCTGCCCTTCTGTGGTGAGGAGGCCAGCCAGGAACAGGCCCAGGCCCAGGCCCAGGCCCAGTGTGAGGTTCATTGTCCTTGGAGATTGTCCTGTTGAGTAGCAGATCTGAGGTTAGCAAGAAAAATCACAAAAGTGGTCCCTTGTTTCATCTTGTTTCCCAAGAAGGCTGGGTGAAAAGAGCAATACAGGAACTAACATGTGATGTGGAGTAGCATCTTACCTCTTAACCGTTATTAGCATCTCAGGGACTGGAAATGATTAGCCTCACTTAATAAGTGAGAACCTTGAGTAGTGAAGACAGCTCCTATTTTGTTTGCTTGTTTTTTAAGAATAGGAAAATTTACTGGAGAAAAGGAATGGGGAGTAGGAATGGGGAATAGGAATAGCTCCTGTGGAGGGATCCTGACCCTGAGTGGGTTGCTGATGAACCTACTTCGATTTCTTTTTCTTTCTTTCTTTCTTTCTTTCTTTCTTTCTTTCTTTCTTTCTTTCTTTCTTATTTTAGCTTTTTAAGACAGGGTCTCACTATGCACTTCAGGCTGGTCTTGAGCTCACTTTGTAGCCCAGGCTGGCCTTGAACTCATGGCAATCCTCCTGCCTTAGCTTCCTGAGTGCTGGGATTACAGTCATGCACCACCACACCCGGCTTCAATGAGCCTACTTCAATGAGGCAAAGAAGTTCTACAGAGCCAAATCATAAGGCAGGCACAGTGTGGATCAACGTTATAAGCAATCAATAAGATTAAAAGTACAGTTGCTTAGGTAATATTGCTGCAATGTAGCAAGGGCATATGGATGACATCACTAACCTTGGTCAATGATCTATAGTTTTATTTTTAGTTTTATTCTCAGTAGTCATAGTCTCAGTTTTAGTGGTCTTAGTCTTAGCAGGTAGGAGAAGACATCCCACCCCTGATGAGATAATGGGAAATCCAAAAGGGGTGATACCAATAATCTCAAGACAGTGCCTGTTTTTGTACCTTCTTCCCTTATCTTATTGTAGCAGTGATTCAATTCCTTTGAGGAACTTCTATCTAGTCCATTCTAGCATTCTACAGCCTGGGCATGGGGCCCAGAACATGCCATTTTAGTTCTTCAACCTTTGCCATGTGGATTGATTAAAGAATGAGAGACTAACTAAAATCAGATCCATCTGTGTTTTTCCTGGAGAAAGCAATGTCTTTGTAACTTTTGGGTGATTGGCTTAATGGTGTCATCTGGCAGAGGAATGTGACCATGACTTTCACAGGTGGAAGGAGACAAGAGAGCTAGGGCTGCAAAGAGAGAAATGGGCAGCCACAGCTGAGGACATTCTTGGAGTTACTGGATCGACCTCTTCTTGACGCCCACTTACCTCCATTTTTGTTTTAGGGGTCAATAGACTTCCAATTCAGACTTGGCTGGTTTGAGTTGGATGTTTTTTTCCAATTTTAGTATATGTGCTGTTGAAGCAGGCAGGGATTTTTTCCCCTTAGAGCCAAAAGAATTCTGACTAATTTACAGAAAGAAAGTGCTTTATGTAAGATCACATTCCCTGAAAGCAGTGGATATCCTGTGGTGGGTAACCAAGGCAAATCCTAGGTTCTGGTAAAACACCTGCCCCACACCCTTTCCAGAGAAGGGAAAAGTCATGCAGAAGAAAAGCCAAGCCCACCTGGTCCCAGAGGGCTGCTCTTTTCGCCAACTTCTTGGATCTGATATTTCCCAAGGGCACTGTGAACTTTTAGGGGACAAAAATTTCATTTTCTGTTTTCTCTAATCTCCAGGCGTAGGGCTTATGAGAGCTGCCAAAAGCATGGTATTCTCAAAAGCTTGTTGTTGGGGGCTGGGGATTTAGCTCAGCGGCAAAGCGCCTGCCTGGCAAGCGCAAGGTCGTGAGTTCGGTTCCTGGTACCGGAGAAAAACCAAAAAAAAAAAAAAAAAAACAATCAAAAGCTTGTTGTTTCTCTAGTTGACCATTCTACGTTCAATGATGTTTTTAATAATTTATAATTATGTAAAATAAAAGCAGGTCTCATTGCTTAGACCTGTGTCATATCACCCTTACCTTCACAAGTCTGCAATCCACAGAGCTGAAAGCTGTCCCTGACCACTTAGATTGGGCTCACAGGAGCACTTTTCGAGGGACTCAGGTGCATGTCTTGTGTTTAGAGTTGCTTTAGAAAGAGGCTCTAGGGAAGTCATCCCAAGGACTCAACTCTGGAGAGCTGGCCTTTTAGATGGCATGAGATATTCGGTGCCTGTGACCTGCCCCCAGGATGTGAACATGGCACCTAACTTCCTGGGACCATTAGCTCCTATCAGTGGAAGACAACTATCAGGGCTGGGAAGGGTGGCTGGGAGCTATGAACAGCCAAGCACATCAGCCCCTGGGAATCCACAGGCCCTGCTGCAGGGGAACCCTAGCGGATACACAGAGATCTCTTTCTGGCTGACCAGATGGGTGCAAGAAGGATCCCTAGCATGAAGCCTGTGCCTAGGAGCCAGCAGCCTTAGCTCTTCCTGGACTGTGTATACATCCTTCATCACAGCAGACAGGGTCTTTGAGGAGTCAGCTGTACTGTATTGAAAATCCTGGTAGATACTGCTCGATTTTTAAAGTTGTCCACTCCTCCCTCACACACCCTATGAACCTCAGAGAGCGGGCCTCTGGAGCCAGGTCCCAAGGGAGGACCTGATTGGTGCAGTGTAATCGCAACATTCCTGCTAGTGATTGGTTACAAGACAGTCATAATCCAATCAGGGCAAGTTCAGGGAGGGGCATGTGATGTAAGTGGTCCAATCAGGGCTAACTTCAGACCTGTTGGCATGTTGGTGTTCCTCTGTCTGTTCCCTGGATGCCTTGGGCGGGAGAGTAAGGCAGGCAGACTAGCACTTCATACTACCCCCTGAGGGAAGTGAAGACAAAGCCGGAGCACAAAGGACACATACCAGCGCTTCTCTGAGAGGTTGGAGCTGGATCTGTGCTCCCTCCACCCTTGTGTGGATGTCAAGTTACCTGGCCAGGTACTTAAGGCCAAAAGCATCCTGACAATTCAAGGAATTTTTTTAAAGTGCCAGGACTATGGAGCAGTCCAGAGCTCTGTCCTCTAGTCCCATGGCATCCTGAAAACAACTTCTTGATCTGAGCCCAGGGATTCTCAAAATACCTTCCACTCCCCAGGACTATGTTTGGTAAAAATTAGGAAGAATTGATGATGTTTGGTAAAAATTATGAAAAACAGGGGCTCCGTGGACTGTCTGAAAACAGATTTTAGGAGAGGAACTAGGAGAATCTTTTAGGATGCTTCTAATAAATGAAAGAGAACAGAACACACAAAGGAGCCAATCCCAGGCACGCTCAGGTAGGACAGTGGACAACAGCCTAGATTCAAGATCAGAGCTTCCGCTGCTCTGAGTGGATTTGCACCACGGTAGCTGCAGAAAGAGTTGAGGAACTCACTCAGCAGGGTGTGGCAGCCGTGGAGCTGCAAAGCCAGGAGCGACCTGGCAGGAGCCGCACCTGAGTCAGGGCACCTGTGAGTCAGGGCGGGCTGTGCCCTCTCAGCGTGGGGAAACTGCTGGGCTCCACCCGGAAGACACTGCCTGGAGCATCTGCAGTCTCACAGCTTGGTGGCAGAGGTCCCTTGCTGATCCCTGAAAGTGTTCCTACTTCCCTGAGCTTCTGAAGTGAGGATTGACTGGGGAATGACAATTTTGTGCTAGTTAGATGGCACGAGGTCCTACAGACACCAGCATCCTCATCTATTAAATGTAAGCTGAGGGGCTGGGGATGTAGCTCAGTGGTGGAGTGCTTGCCTAGCATGCACAAGGCCCTGAGTTCAATCCCCAGTACCACACGCACACACGCACACACATACACACATAAGGTGAGGGTTCATTCTCTTCCCCATAAAGGCTGCTCCGAAGCTAGCGGCCACCCCCAGGGTTTCAGCTTTCTTGCATCCTGGAGCTTGAGTCACAGTGGTCCCCCTCAGTCCCCTCAGGCCTCCTGCCCAGCCCCCATCTGTTGTAAACAACCTGGCCTTTCCTTCCAGCAGCCCACACTAGCCCAATTCTGGGCCTTCCCATCTGTCATCCTGGTCTCTAAACTGACCCAAATTTGCCACATGGGTTAGATGCCTGAGTAGGCTAAACTTCTTTTCCATCAATTAAAATAGCTGAGCAACTGGTTATTTCCCAATAAATTGACAGGTTGGTCTCCTAAGTTGAGCAACTCTTTGCTGGGTTTTAGTTTGGAATGTGCATGTGTGTATATGTGTGTGTCTGTGTGTTGTGAACTGGATGTATGTGTGTGACTGTCAAAAGAAAAAGAGAAAGAAAGAGAAGGAAGGAGGGAAGGAAGGAAGGAAGGAAAGAAGAAAGAAAGAAAGAAAGAAAGAAAGAAAGAAAGAAAGAAAGAAAGAAAGAAAGAAAGAAAGAGAGAAAGAAAGAAAAAGAAGAGCTTTACCCAGTGGAGCACCCTTGGAGCAGACAAAGCTAAAACTCAGTGCTTCAATTCTCTAGCCATGCTGGTCTCCCATCCCCTATTAATTTGGGAACAAATTTCCCTGTTCTCTTATGAATAGACGAAGCATCCCAGCAACCCAGGGCATCTCCCTGACTTAGGAGCCGTCCATTACAAAAACAGATCCCACTCAGGCAACAGAACTTCTGACAAGCAGCGCAGGTGGCTTCACTTCCCACAGGAGGTCCCCACAGGAGGTTCCCACAGGAGGCTCCCACGGGAGGGCTCCCAGGCCAGACAGTGGGCCCACTTCTAGATCCCGCACTATCCTGATGTGCACAGTCACTGGAAGCACCCACTCAGGTGACAGTGACATGGGGCAGCATATTATTATTCACCCCTCTGTATCCTCAGGGAATTGGCCCCATAGGCATCAAAGTCCAAGGATGCTCCAGTCTGTTATATTAAATGCAGTATTTGCATAGAGCCTCCTGCATACTTTAAATCTCCTCTGGATTACTATAGTAATGAATACAGTGTAAATATTACTTAAACAGTTGTCATGCTGTATTGTTTAGGGAATACAACAACAAAAAAAATGCCTATACATTTTCAGAATAGACATTTTCCCGCAAATATTTCCCACCTGAAGTTGGTTAAACCTGCAGATGCAGGATAGGTAGGGCCAGCCCTGGTGATATTTGTAATTATACAGAGCATTTTCCTATTTCCCACCAGCAGGTTGGGGGAACAAGACATAAGCAAAGAGACCACACACTGGCTCGGGATGAGCCACACAGGGCAGTGGTTTAGAACCATTCTCTCCAGAGGGGTGGCCTTCCTGTCCCCTCCCCGACCTGCCCTTTGCCTGAAGTTTGCTGTCATACTTCATTCCTCTGTGGTGAAGCTGCCTGGTCAGGAAAAGTTGCTGTGATACCTTTCCTCAAGCCAAAGAGAACAAAAAGTTGAGGATGCCCCGCACAAGTTCCCATCCCCAGTGTCTCAGCCCAATAGAGTGAGCTCCCGGCAACCACAATATTGCTTCACAGGCTGCATGCACCATGCATCCTCTCCTACCCTGAGGGACCACAAGCCCTCTGAGACCCCAGCTTTCCTCAGACTTTCCCAGAGTTCCCCACCGACTGTGTAGCACTGGGGACACTCAGTGCCTTCCTTGGGCTGAGAGATGTGAAGGACCTTTCTAAAGATCTATTTTGATATCACCAATGAAGACCATTGCCAAAGCCCTAGACTTAAGGACACAGCCTAGGAATGCCCTGTGGTCCACCTGCTCTAAGGAACTGATGTTGCAAGAAGAAGTCACACTGATATATTAGAAGCTAAAGGCTAAGCACATTTAGAACTAAATGATGGTGCTCCTTATCCTTTCGCTACTATTAGAAGTCAGAGAAGCCCCCACTTAGAGAAGAACTCTAATCACCATGGCAGTCTTCTTTATCCTCCTCCCTGGAAACAAATGATGAAGCAGAGTCTGCTTGTTTTGCTTTGTAGATTTTTGCCTTCATTGTTTTAAGAAATATGATTGAGCCCCAGCTCTGAGCCAGGAACTGGGGCACCTGAGCAATGCCGAGGGAATGTTCCTATTGATGCAGCTGGCTGAGAAGTGTTTCCCACACCAGTGCCGCAGACTTTTCCAAACCCTTAGGAGCTGTCTAGCTCTGTCTGGCCCAATCTTCCTCCCTTTCTGTGACTTCAGTAGAAATCCTGAATGCCCATCATCTCAGGACACGTGTGCTGTGAAGGGGAAACCATGGTCTAGAGTGGACAAGGAAGAGACCAAGTCACTAGTCTATATTAATAAGGGACGGATCAGAATGGAAATCAGTCGGGGGGCAACTCTGCCAAGCAGTCTGAAGAATTAAACAGGCAGCTTGGCCTCACTTTCATCCAGAAGTGGTGAACTGATGGCTATAACATCTGAAAGTCCACAGACAGTTCCCTGTGGCCAGGGCAGAAGATGAGGTGTGGAGGCTCCAGTTGAAGGGTCTACATATCACCCAAGACCTCCCCGGTACCCACTCTCACCAAGGTGTTTTTCTCAAGCAAAGGTCTAGAAATAGATGTTCATGGCAATGAATCAGAGCCTCCAACCAAGCTGCCCAGCTAACTCCTCCAAGGAAGGTCCCCAGATTTGGGCAACGTTCTAGAGTTTTCTTCCAATACACCCATTTGGACAGTACTACATCTTTCCTCAATCTAAAGCCACCTTCATGAGCAATAGACAAGAAACCCTTGACCTTGCCAAAGGGGAACCTCCATACTCACAGTTCATGCAGAAGAAATCCACGGGGCCAGCCAAATAGATCTGCCCTCTTGCTTTATTATTTATACCTCCATGTGTCTTGAAAAGGTCGAGTGCAGGCCAATAGAATCAGCTGGTCTGAGTGGGCAGATGGTAGAGGTTCCAGGAGCAATGGCCACACCACTTCCCTGGGGGCTTCTCCTTGCCACCAGAGGCTGCGGTGTGATATGTAGGACCACACCCTCTGGGCTGGGGCTACTCTAATGAAGTCCACTCATATCTTTTGCAACTCCTCAATTTCCCAATCACTGCCTGGGTCTGGAGGCTGGGATAGTCTACAAGTGGATCAGACACTGAACATTCAACCCACAGCTTACCTTTGTCATTCGTGGAAGAGAGTGACAACTGCGTTCCTTGGGGGATCATTTCCCTTTCTTTCTCATTTTTCTTTGCTTATTTTTTATGTGCTCCAAAGTGTCGGCTCTGCTGCCTTAGCTCTCATAAGTTCCTTTGTGGAGAGGAGTGAGGACAGCTGAACAGACAGCGACTTGCCCAATTTCTCAGCAGAGCTCAAACATTCACATCAAACTTGTGCTCATTCGAGAGTGACTGTTTTCCTATTGTGCTAGGTCAACCGTCTATGGCTGAGTTTTGTTGTTCCTCCCCTTACTTTCCTTGTATTTTCTAAATTGTCTTGAAGGGGCAGCTATTGCTTTAGAGTTACAGTCAAAATAAAATGAAATTTTTGTTTTCTGTTTTACCATTCAGATAGGGATACAATGTGGATGATGATGGTGCCTTCCAAACCCACAGATCCTGGGATGGAAGGAGACAGAGCCCTGTGGGCTGACTTTCAATTCTGTTTTCTCTGATGAACTCCAGCAACCAGAAAAATCAACAAGTATTCTGACCCCATTGACATGGCTTCATAACAGCAATGTGACCATACACTACAGGAGCCCCAGAATAGGTCTGCCAGATGTTTGGTCTCTTTGGGGGATGCTACTTTTGGGGGTGTGTGGCTGTCATCCCGGAAGCTGTGTGCAGCAGGTGACTCAGTGAGGTTTTCTTGGAAAGAGGCGACACTAGCTCATGTCTGGGCCTGGTTTGGGTATAAACAGATGCATTCCTGGCCCGAGATATCCAGGTTGTGGGGATGTGAGGTTCCTGAGCTTCCAGAATCAGAGCGCGCCCTGCGGGAGCCCCCAGAGGCAGTCCTTCCTCGTCCAAGGAGCAAGGCCTGCCTGTTGGGATGTGTGCGTGTCAGTGCGCCTGTGACAAGACCAGACTGGAGGCTGCAGATGCAACCCAGGTGCAGGAACAGGTGCCCCGAGGCCCAGGCAGGTGGTCCCATGGTGGTGACGCTGCAGAGATAGAGGACAAGAGCCAGCTAGGTGGACGCTGACCCAGAATGTGGAAAGGTTTGGGGTTTGGGAGGGAAGAACTCTGCCTGCTAATGACAGGGTGAGGCCTGTGTGAGTCCCGGGGCACGCCCGGCACCCGTCCAGACTCTCATGCTCCTGGCCAAAACCCCACAGGAGACGTGCAGAGGCAGACCCGGGTGGGGGTGACCACTGAGTGACACTGGCTTCACTGTGGATGCCTGAGCTCAGACAGCACCGAGAGGCCTGTAGGCTATGGGTGGAGGGCAGCGCCAGGTGGAGGGTGGCCACAGCTGGGTGCAGGCCAGGTCAGGGGAAAAACCTGACCACCCTGCCTGGGGAGAGAAACTCGCAGGTGGGAGGAGGTGGAGGCCAGGAAGATGACTGCGGGAGGACCAGCCCGTCTCAGCACCCACCGAGGGCCTGGGCTGGCCTTGGGCTGCCCCTTTACACCTGGAGCTGGGAAAACTCACAGCCCAGACAGGAGAGGTCGAAGGTGATTGTCCAGCCTGGGGCAACTGCTATGAGTTGATGGGCCAGAGGCACCAGCCTGAGGCTGAGGAGTGGCCTGCATATTTTTCCAGTGTAACCTTGTTGGGGTGAGTGGGCAGCCAGGAGTTTCCAGTCTCTCCCTCTCTTGGTTCTCCCAGATACAGAACCTATGAGGCAGCTAGGAAGGTATTAACACACCGCACCTAGACTCCAAGAACCTGGTAGAGCCAGGGCAAGGAATCTTTGAAGAACTTCTTCAAAGAATTATGATGAGCATCTAAGGTTGAGAATCCCAATTTTCAAGCAAGGAAGTCCTACTGATAGTCATGGGAACCATACAGGATGCCTTGAAAACATGGGGCTTCCTGAAACCTCCAAATGTGGCAAAGCTATAGCAGTAGAGACAGACAAATCAGCCCATGGAGAGAAGCCAGGACGGACCCACACAGGAAGAGGAACCTGGGACGTGACCAAGGCATCCTTGTAGCTCAGAGGAAAAGGGAAGCCCTCCCCCAACAGCACTGGGACCCTGGATGTCCACGTGAGTGGAATGAGTTGTGACCGTATTTCACTCAACGCACAAACATTACTGTCATAAATCATAGGTCTAAATGTGACCTATATGAAAACTGATGACATGACACGTGTTTTTTGCCCCTCCCCCAAAGATGCCACAATTATCAAAATAATAAAGCTCCTGGGAGAAGGTATTGTGGCCTATTTTATAACTCTGAGCTAGGCAGACTTCAACAGCACACAGGAAGTACTAATCATAAAAAGTTGATATACTGAACTTCACTAAGAACTTTAGTCATTAAAAGAAGCCGGGTGTGGCAGTGCACACCTGTAATCCCAACACCCGGGAAGCTGAGGCAGGAGGGTCGTTGCAGTTCGAGACCAGCCTGGGCTACAAAGTGAGCTCGAGGCCAGCCTGAACCGCATAGTGAGACCCTGTCTCAAAAAGACCAAAAAATAAAATAAAATCACGTATGAGAGGGCAAAGGTAAGTGACAGACTGGGAGATGGCACTTATTATACATATATCTAATGAAGGACTCGTACTAGATTTTAAATCAATAAGAAATGACAACTTCAAAAATAAGCAAAGACTTGAATAAATGCTTCACAAAAGAGATCCCAGTGACCTATAAGCAGCTGACAATGTGCACAATTATCAGTCATCTGGAATATGCAAAATAAAACCACAACAAGATAGCACAACATGCCCCGCAAAATAGGTAACATGAAAAGGACTGATGGTGATGCCAAAGTATGGAGCAAGTGGAACTCTGGTCTTATGCTGTGGTGGCTGGTGGGGTGTCCTGGCATGAATGCTGGGGGAAATCGCTTGGCAGGAGCCATGAAAGCTAAACCCCTGGCTGCCCTTTGACCCAGTCACTGAAACCCCAGGCCCAACACAAACAGGTGGTGGGTCCACAAGGACACATGCTACAGTACCCAGCATGGCTTTCTGTATCAGCTCCAAAATGGAAACAAGATAGAGGTCCAGCTGCCTGGTAGGCCCCCAGAGCAAGGGCCTCTGGCGCCCTGGGAGCCATGGGCAGGGAGCGCCGGCCTTCGGGCTGGCTAGCTTTCTGCCTGGTAGGCCCCCAGAGGGTGGGCCCCGAGCGTATGTGGAGCCATGCGGCTGCGAGCGCTGTTGCGCGCCGGCCCTTAGGCCGGCCGCTGCCGCTCAATTGAGAACTATCAAGACACAGAGAAACAATGACCCAATTGGCCCACCATGCACCGGCTGCAGATGCCCATCCTAGGACGTGTATGAAACATTCAAATGGAAAAACCCCTGGGAATGCATGCCATACAATGGGTTACTCTTGCTCCTGCCATTGAGAAACAGAAAGGTCCAGAGTCAGCAGAGGAGCAACTGCTAAACAAGGACTTGGAGAACATGAGAATGCAGACTAAGCCCAAGGAGTCAGAGGTCCTGTGGA